CAGCTAATAAGTGTTATGTGTCTGAGGCCGGATTTGAACTCAGGTCTTCCTGAATCCAGGGCCGGTGCTCTATCCACTGCGCCACCTAGCTGCCCCCCAAAATTACCATTTTGATCCTTCATCTTGGCAAAAGCTTTTCTATAAGCCAAAACTTCCAGGATTCACCAGTGATTGGCATATCATATTTTCTTCCAAAGAATTGGTTTTCCTTTAAGGCCAGCAGGTTTTAAGAAAAAAATTTTTTATGGTTGTGTTACTGCTGTCCTATTCACAAAGCAGTGTAAGATTTATTGTATACAAGTTATAATTCCAACGAGCCACACAGATATGCCAAGAATATTTTTCATACTTAAAAGCTCCTTACATGGTCTTATGAACATATTTTGAGGCACTCTTATGGAAGATTATATAATTTTAGTACAGGAGCTAAAAAATCAGCTTCATAGATAAGTTGAGATCACAATTTTAGCCATTTAAATCTATTTAGACAATTTAGAATTATTAAATGAGGCTCTGAGGAGAGAAGCATTCTTTAAATAGGTGAATCACTGCCTTGCTGGCCTCCCACTTAACCATTCATACCAGGTCCATTAAAATCTGAATCATTAGTTCATTTTCTTCATCCAAATTCAAGCTTCCAGTGATTTCTGTACAGGTAGTTTTCCTCAAGGTAAATAGCTAATAGTACACTGTACAGTATGTTTAGACTTGGAAATAATCTCAGATATATTTGTTAAACAAATGATCTTTTTGCTCTCTCCCAATCATAGGAACTCAGTTCACACAGGATGAGACCATATATCTACCCAGTGAGTAGTTTAAAATAACTGAAAACATCACAAGTGAGGAAGAGGACTCATGCCTTAACCCAACTCCCTATTTTATAAGCAAAAGACAGTTCATCTGCTTTAACAAGGGGAATAAAATTTCTGAGATATAAAAGTCAGTTCCCTGAATACATAAAAAATGATTGCGGTATATTAACTGGATAGAACACTGGCCCTGAAGTCAGGAGGACCTGAGTTCAAATCTGACCTCTGACACATAATACTAGCTGAGTGACCCTAGTCAAGTCACTTAACCCCAATTGCCTCACCAAAAAAAAGGGGCGGGGGAGAAGAGAAAACATAAGTAGAAATAATGATGATTATATAGCAAATGTCTCCTAGCACGGAACTGACAGATTGGTCAGTTAAATACTTAGTATTAATGCATGACAAGTGTGAGTATGTCCTAGCCATCTCTGCCTCAAAGCAAATAAGCTGGGGCTTCACAAAGCATGCAAATACAAACCAACCAGCAATTTTTCATTATCCCCTAGTATGCTACAAATAAACTATATCATTACTGCCTCTTACTACATAAGTTTTTATTAGAATTCACATAGCAATCACTATGGGTGAAAGAAATTCCCTTTGCAGTTTAATTCAGCATCCGAAAATAAATAAAACACACACACAAAAAAAATCATGTGACAAAATGTGTTTTTAGTAATAGTACTTAAGCAGCCAGGGTTGCTGTAGGGATCAAGTCAAGTGAAGTCAACAAATACTTATTAAGCACCTATTATATGCCAGGCACTATATTAAGTGCTGTGGATACAAAGAAAAGGCATAAAATAGTCCTTGCTCTGAAAGGGCTTCATACTCTCAGGGAGGAGAAAACATATAAACAAGAATATAGAGGATAATTTGAAGATAATCTCAGAGGAAAGGTACTAAGATTAAGAAAGACTGATACCTACTACAAAAAACCTGAAATTCATACCAGATGAAACAGAAATCTAATGATAAACTGCAGTGATTTTCTCCACCCCTGAACTGCACAAAAAGCCAGCCAAAAGCCCATGACTAATGAGAAAGGGAACCACCAAAGCATCAGCCTCGTTAACCAAATTAGCAAACTTAGTGCAACCAGAGCCATTGCACATTGCAAGGCTTTGTGTCTAGATGCAGCAAAAGCAGAAGGCTCCCTAGGAGACCTTGGAAGCCCTGGGGAAATGGCAGCAACCAGCATAGCTTGGCAGTACTCAGACCTGGATATCCCAAGCCTAAGGGGGGGCCTAACTTCAACAGGAGGAGATGACCCAGGTGAAGACTAAATATGACCAATCATCTACCCAGAAGTGAATCCTGGCCTTGGCACGAATCCCTACTTGTGGAACTAAAGCTGGAGAAATGAGTAAAGCAAATAAGACCCCAACTCAGTATAAAAAAGATTGTAGTTATATTTAAGTATCCCCCAAAAGAAAAATAAATCTGTAACCACTATAAGCAGAGACTTGAATAAGGTATAAGAAGACTAGAAAGGTAGGAAGGGGGCTAGGTAATGAAGAATTTAAAAAGCCAAACAGATGATTTTATATTTGACCCTGAAGGTAAAAGGAACCCACTGGATTTTATGAGTTTTTTGATTAGGAGATAGAGAGGTGATATGATCAGACCAGCCTAAGACTTGAGCAATAGTTCAGGAGTGAGGTGATGAAGGCTTACACTAGGCTGCTGTTATCAAATGACATAAATGCATGTTAAAATACTTTTTAAACCTTAAAATATTATATAAATTTCAACTGTTGTTATGTAGTGAAACAGGCAATATTTAGAGTTAAAAGCTACTTAGAAGGATCTACAAATATGAAGCTCAAAATATTCTCTGTTATTTCTAGGCTGACTCCATATTATATTGTCTTTCCAAAGGAGGGAAAAAAGACTGATTAAAGTAGGATGCTGATGCATTAAGAAACTGAGAAGCCAAAAAGATAATAACTATGTAAACTGGAAAAATTGTCAACCAAAACATTTAAAGTCATGCTTTTAGACTCTATTTCAAAGGATATTTAAAAAAGACAATGAAATAATCAAAAAGCATATACTATTCTCTGCACAGTATTTGGCAACATCCCTGTAGTTGCCCTCTATAGTTGATTTTTTGTTGATATAATTTTAAAGTTAGAGTTGATTCACTCAGGTTAACCAGATTTCCTGCTTTTGTTATGCAAAAAGTCACGTTAAGGGTCTTGAGGTGGCAAAATCAAAAAACAAAGCCACAAATGGGAACAATTTGTAGGACTTGTACACTAGCACCATAAAACCTAGCACAAAGCTAAATTTTAATGTTTTTCTTATTAAAACTAGTAAATTGGCAGTACTTCTTTAAGAATAAATTTTACAGTTTAGATATAGTATTAAGTAAAATGTCATTTCCAACTTTAATTTTATGAGTTGAAAAAAAAACCCTGATATTTCTTTAAATTCAAGAAACTTTTTTCAGTAGTTGTAGGCTAGACTACATCCTACAACATAACTGAACAAAGTAAAACAATTTATAGCATTCTCATTGGTATAGGGTATATAAATCAAGGCTGTTAATTTTTTTGGCTAGGCAATGGGGTTATGTGACTTGCCCAGGGTCACACGGTTAGTAAGTATCAAGTGTTTGAGGCCGGATTTGAACTCAAGTCCTCCTGACTCCAGGGCCTGTGCTCTATCCACTGGTGGCACAGTTAGTTAATTGGAGGCTGCTAATTTTAAGTGCCAGAGAAGCATTCTATTTTTGTGCCAGTCACTTCAGGCATCCCCTTTCAAAGGCTTGAAAGGCTTGAATGAAAGGGCTCTCTTCTCTAATCTGCCTGACACTCAAATGCTGGGTTCCAAACTGGCTTGCTATTTTGTAGAGATTCATATGGCATGACTAGGCATACATTATTAGTTTGATGCCTTTGATTAATTCTGTAAGATATTCTCATCTGATAAAGGTATCAGAGTTAGAGTGTTTTGTTAATTACTTTAAGCGATGGCATGATTGGTGCCTCAGTTAAGCCCCTCCTTATATCAGTAATCAAAACTGTTCCTAGTTGAAAAACTGAAAGCAATTTAAGATCCAGAAGAAATGAACATATTAGCAAAGTGTCAGACAAACCTAAAGATACTAACTACTGGGGTAAAGACTTACTGTTTGACAAAAAACTGCTAGGAAAATACAAAGGTAGTGTGTTACAAATTGGTTTGGAACACTATTCACATCATGAACCAGAATAAACTCTGTATAGACATGTGACTCCAAGTGTTACACCATAAAGAAATTATAAAAATAGAGAAACACCTTTTGATTACATAAACTTTAAAAGCTCCACACAAACACAAATCAATGCAGCAAAAATCAGAAGCAAAACAGTTACCTGGGGAAAAATCTTTGCAACATGTTTTTCTGATAAAGGCATGATATTGAAGATACATAGCGAACTCATTCAAGTATATAAGAACAAGAACCATTCCTTAAGAATAGGGACAGGCAGATCTCAAAAGGATAGAAGCAAATTATCACCAACTATATGAAAAAATGCTTCAAATCACTGCTGGAAAATGTATGTTAAAACAGCTCTAATGTTCTGCCTCACCAATCAGATTGGCAATAATAACAAAAAGGAAAACTAATTATTAGAATGGCTGCAGGAAGACAGATATACTAATACATTGTTAGTGAAGCTATTCTGGAAAATAATTTGGAACAATATCCTAAAAGAATTGTGCCTATCTTTTGATCTAGTGACTAGGCTTTTACTCTAAAGGGATCAAAGAAAGAGGGAAGGTAACTAAATGAATAAAAATATTCCCAACTAAAAGCCCATCTTCTAAAGAAGTTTCTCCAACCCTTCTTAATTCTAATGCTTTCCCACTTTTAATGATTTCGTATTTATCCTGAACATAGCTTGTTTATACATACTTGTTTGCTTATTGTCTCCATTAGATTGTTAGCTCCTTGAGGGCAGTGACTTTCTTTTGCTTCTTTTTGTATCTCTAACACTAAGCACAGTGCCTGGCACATGGTAGGTGCTTAATAAATGTCTACTGATTGACTGATTCCCTAGTTACATATCTTTCCATTTTGTACTGAAACTAGTTTCAGGGTATTACTGTGATGTCAGTACAACTGTGACATCATAAGGTACAGGAAGTTGGTTTATATGGAATTTGTGCAATTACACTGCATAGCACACTTACCTTCGATATTTAGCTCAAAACAAAGGTGGCAGAAGGAAAGTGTTTCTTTATCTGTTCCCAGTTTACAAATACTGCAAATGTTGTCATCATTTAAGTCAATGTTTACAAAGTGCTCTTCGTTCATAATTGCCCCTATTAGGGAAAAGTAGACATTTCGATTTCAGTATATTTACAATTTCTTTGTATTTTTTACACATTTGTTTAAAACATGACATAAAACAGAAGGGTTCATATGTTAAACGTTAAACATTTATTTAAAACATGACTCAGAGGAAGGCCCCTAGTACCTTGGATGGGATCCTCTAAGAATCGAAAAGGATGAGAAGGCATGGATTGGTTGAAATCTGCACTAATGGAAGGAATTCTCACACGGATAAATGCAAAGATCCACCTAAATGTTAAAGTAACACATTAGTCAGAAATCAGTAGAAAAGTCTACTTTTCTTTAATAAGCTTACATATTCCCAGTTAAATTTCAGTCTCAATAGGATCACTGACTTAGAACTAGAAATAATCTTAAGGGGATACTTTGTCTAACCCCCCCCAATTTCACAGACGAGAAAATGGAGGACCTAGGAAGTTAAGTAACTTGCTCAATCTTAAAAGATAAGATTTGAAAACCATCCTTTGAATCTAAACTAGGTTTTTTCCCTCTAGAGAATATACTGTACTATTATCCAAACAACAGGGGTTATTTAATGTTTCATTTAGTTTAGAAAACCTGGCAGATCTCTGGGAATTACATTCTAGTACTTCTTTTGAACACTGGACTTGAAATATTAAAGCAACTAGAAAAATCTTTAAGTCTTTTCTAGCACCTACTCAGTAATGTGGGAGGTGGGTGGGTAAGACTAACACAATTCACAGCATTTTCATCAAACCCCCAAGGCTAACTTTTTGTCATTCTAAGTAAGCAGAAGGGTAGGTTTATCCTAAGGTGGCAGTGAAATGTGCACTGTCAAGAGTCAATAGATACTAAATTCCTACTATAAGCAAGGCATTGCAATTCGAGAAAAGATGGTCCCTGCCCTCAAGGAGCTTACAATATTATGGAGACAAGGAAATGAAAGCAGAAAACCGAGGAATTAGGGAAGGAAGGTACTCAAGAGTGGAGGCATGGTGGAGAGGTCAAAAAAATTCAAGCTGAATTTGTTTTAAATGAGATTTCTGAGGATCTGTCTCTAGTATTCTGCCTTTAAATGGTCGAGGCTACCGCTCTACCCTTCAAAGGGAGAGGCGGAGAACACTGATTAGGAGTCAGTAAGAAGACTGTATTTGGCAAGATGATGAGATTTCCCAATGAATACTTTTGCCGGGGATACTGTGGAGAAATAAAAAAAAAATCCAAAATGAGTGAAGCTAGGTAGGAAAAGAGGAGATATCTGAGACTGTCACAGAATCAAGGGAAGGAAAGCACCAACTAACTTAGGAGAGCACCTAGAAATCAGGAGTTGAATCATCGTTGGGGGTAGGAGGGGAAAAGGAAGAAAGAAAAGAAGTTCTGAGAAGTCGGGGGTTCCACATAACTCTGGGAGGGGCCTTCAAAGTGTCCACTAGATTAGCAAAACATCAACCAGAATTTATTTAAGCATCTATATAACCAGCACTGTCCCCAAAACTGGCCATATTAAGAAAAATTAATGTTCTTGTCTTCAAGGAGCTTGCAGTCTATTAGGAATAGAAACGTGTATGTAAGCATAAACAAAATAAGCATATCTCTAATATATACGAGGAAATTTTGGAAGAGGAGTGAGATGCAGTACCATCAATTTTTGCATTTTTAAGCGCCTCCTAAGTGCCAGGCATCCAGGGTAGAGATACAAGGAATGAAATAATCCCTAATTTCAAATCGTTTGCATTCTTAGGGAGCACTTTAGGGGCGGAGACACCCCCAATCACTACAGGTGTTTCTCCTCAACTTTAGGAGGAAAAAGGTTTTTAAAGCCCTTAGCAAAGGGCGTAAAAGAAAACACTAGGGGCATCGCGGAAGGACCCTCCAACTTCAAAGCTTCGCTCTCCCCTCCCCCCGGGGGGGCGCGGCCGAGGGCGCCCAGAGACCCTCACTGGCTGAAGGTCAAGCAAGCGCTTAGTCTGCCAGGACCCCAGGAAAAGAGCAGGACTAACGCTGGGGGGCGAAGGGATCAGAGGAGTAAAGAGCGGGCAGGAGAAGATGGTTACCGCGGCCTCGGTCACCGCGGCCACCTCCACCGCTCCGGGGCAGCCTCAGAGGGAGGCCCCGCCCCACAGCGGTCGCGGCTACTCCGAGGGGCCGGGGAAATCCCCAGGGGAAGAACGCAAGCGAGCATGCCCACCTGGGTGCCCACCTGTCCTTCCTGCTCACTTGCGGCACTTACCTCCCAACTCGCAGACAGGTTTCTTCGGTTATACTCGCCTGCCTTTCTTCAGGACTACCGCCATTTGTGGAGAAGCGTACTCCCCCCCAACCCCGACCAAGGCTAAAGTTAGACTGTGCCGCTTCCCCGCTCAGCCCACCCCTTTACCGAGGCAAAGCGGAAACGGCGGCCTGGGGGAGGGGCAAGGGGCCTGGAAAAGTCCATTCCTGAGGCTAAAAATCAGAACAGCCTTAAAGTAACATTTGGGAATTATAGGGATATTGGGATACAACTTGGCATATTAAATAAGAATTTTTGTAAGAAGAATTCGTATGTTAAGTGACGTTAATTTTGAGGTGTTTGAAAGGAAACTCTTGAATACTTGAGAGATGGAATGTTCCTCTCCCCCCAAAACTTGGCTGTTTAGAGTGGTACGTCCCACCCTCTCGATTATGGCCCCGCCCCTTCCGGGCTCTTGGTTTTACGAGCTTTAATCCTGTTTTTTGTTTTGGAAAAAATGGAGAACGTGGAAGAGCGCGCAGTCCTTGCCAGGGCTACATCCACCTATGTTAATTTATGACACGTAAGAGAAGGAGCCCGTTTGTAGTTTTAGCCTTTCCCCCCCCACTTCTCCAGAGTTTTGGTAGAGTTATTTTTGCCCACGTGAGCCTCCCCGTTTCTTTCACGTACGTCCCGAATGCAGCCCAGTTAGGGGTGTGGGAGGAGTTGGGCAGCACGTGGCCAAGGGGCAGGTGAGGAGCGCTGCGTCTGGTCCTCGGGAAACAGATTCAGGTATCTGTAGTGAGACCTGGGAGCCTTTCATGCGAGGTGGGACCTGCCTGGGATCCAGCGGTATGGTCCTTAGGACTCTGGAGAATAAAAAAAATAATAAAATAAAGATGACGTTGATTATGTAAAATTAAAATCATTTTGCATAAGTAAAATCAGTGCTGCTGGAATCAGGTGTGTATTAGAAAAAGTTGTTGCATTAATTTTGTTGTTCATTCGTGTAACGACTCTGCAGCCCTTTTGGGGTTTTTTTGTTTGTTTTTGGCAGAGATACTGGACTGGTTTGCCATTTCCTTCTCCAGCTTATTTTATAGATGAGGGAACTGAGGCAAACAGGTCAAAGTGATTTGCTCAGGGTCACAGCTAGCAAGTGTCTGAGGCCAGATTTGAACTGTGGAAGATGAGTTTTCCTGACTCCAGGCCATGTGCTCTATCCATTGTGCCACCAAAATATCTGTTTAAAGTCTGGCGTGCACCATTTACAGCAGGAATTCTTATCCTTTTTTGTATTGCAGGCCTCTTAGGAGTCTAGTGAAGACTATGTACCCTTTCTTAGAAATACACAAAATAGTAATAATAATACATAAAATAGGGAGTATCACAAAGGAAGTAGGTTACATTGAAAAGTTATAAAAAGATTTTAAAATTTCACGAATCTTGTATTAAGTATCCTTGACCAATAAGAAACTGACAGCATACAAGGTTAACATCTATTTCCCCAAAGATGCAGTCATGAGCAGTTATTAAAAAACAAACAAACCATCAACCACTTGAAAAAATGCAAATTAAAAGAATCTTAATGTATTAATTACCTAGACCTATCTCGCTAGCAAAATTCTAAAAGATACTGATTAGAATGTTTGGGAAGATAGGCAAGTTAATTTACTAATGGTGGAACTGCAAGTAATTCAACTCCTGTAGAAAACAGTTTGGAATCATGCAAGAAAAGATACTAGATTGGTTTTATACTTTGACTCTGATTCCACTTGTTAAATTTGTGTCTGACTCTTTGTGACCTCATTTGGGATTTTCTTGGCAAAAATACTGGAGTAGTTTGCTGTTTCCTTCTCCAGCTCATTTTACAGATGAGGAAACTGAGGCAAACAAGGTTAAGTGACTTGCCTAAGGTCACACAGCTGCTGAGTGTCTGAGACCAGATTTGAACTCGGGAAGATAAATCTTCCTCAACTCAGGCCCTTAGCTTTCTGCCACCTCACCTTCTTTAAGTCCTAACTAAAATCCCACCTCCCACAGGAAGCCTTGCCCAACCTCTCTTAATTCCACTGCCTTCTCTGATAATTATTTCCTATTTATTCTGCATATAGCTTGCTTTGTATATATTTATTTGCATGGTGCCCCCATTAAATTGTAAGTTCCTTGAGGGCAGGAACTGTCTTTTGCCTCTTTTTGTATCCCCAGCATTTAAACACAGTACTTGGTACATAGTAGGAGATTAATATTTATTGAACTGAATTGGAATACAGGGAAGCATGGAAAGATCATATGAACTGATCCAAGGTGAAGTAAGCAGACACAAAACAAAATACACAGGAACTACAACAATGTAAATGGAATGGACAATTATACACCAAAAAAAAAATCAAAAATAGAAACATAAAAATCAAATAGAACTTGAATGAATAGGTATTAGAGGACACCCCTAATTCATTCCTTTGAGGAAGTGAGAGGTCCATAGATGTTAAATATTTCATATGTTTTCAGACTTTTTCAATGTATTGACCAATTTTGCTGTTGGTTTTTTCCCTCTTAAAAATACTATTTGTTATATAGGATGACTTTCTGGGAAGGGAAGGGGGGAAATAATTGGGATAATTATGAATGAAAACTTATTTTTAAAAGGAACTCTTAAAATATTAAGCATTTGCTATGTGCGAGGCCCTGTGCTTGGTGCTGGAGATACAGATACAAAGAGGGAAACAATTCTTACTGTCAAGGAGTTTACATTCTAACAGGAGATGTAACAATTACATGTATGTGCAACATATACACATATAGGGTACATTGCATAAACATAAAGAGAAATAAATATGAAGTAGTTAAATACGAGGTAATTTGGGAGAAGAGAGTGAACAGATGAGAGGACCAGAAAAGATTTCATGTAGAAGGTAGTGTTTGAGTTGCATCTTGAAGGACAAGAGGCATTCTCTGCGGTGGAGGTGAGAGGAGGAAATACGTTCCAAGTACTGTTGTGGTTTGTCCTTCCTTTCTAAGAGCACCAATGACATTAGGCCTCAAACCTGTTGGTGAGTGAGGGGGATGTGAAGCATGTGAAGGCTGTCTGGTGGAATGGGTGATATGAGAACAATTTGTTCCAGTAGCCATGATGGCAGTTGAAGCAGGCACTGTGGAGCTCCTAGAGTTTGGTCATACATTGAAGACTCCAAGGTCATCCACTGAATAGCTTGGCAACAGACTAGGTATGGGAGGTGAGAGGGAGTGGGGAATTGATGATATCTAAGTTGTAAGCCTAGGTGACTGGGAGGATAGTAGAGTAATAAAATGATAGGGAAGTTTGAAGGAAAGGAGGATTTTGGGAAAAATATAATGAGTTCAGTTTTGGAAATGTTGAGTTTAAGATATATGCAAGACATGCAGTTCGAGAAATCTAATATTTACACAGTTGGAGATATAAGATGTGAAATTCAGCAAAGAGGCTAAGGGTAGATAAGTAGATTTGAGAATTATCAGCAAAGAAATGATCACTGAATCCATGAAAGCTGATGAGATCACCCAAGTAAAATGGTATAGTGGGAGAAGAGAAGAGAAGGCCCAGAGCAGAGCCTTGGAGGATACCCGTGAGGCTACCTGAGTAATCCCATGTAGTTAATATAAAAAAAAAATGACTCTCTGAGGAGGTGAAAGATATTTTCTTTCCAGTTGTGGAGATGAAGAAGGCTGGAATATTTAGCTATACTAACTCCTTTTATAACGACCTAGTGTATATATCCAGTTAAGAAGGCAGATGACAACTGATAGCTTACAATTGATTTCAAAGAACTGAACAAAGTTGTCAAGCTTATCTGTATAGCTATTCTTGATCTCATCAATATGGTGGACCAGATAGTATAGGCCCCACATGCATGGTATGGGGTTATTGATTTCACCAGTGCTTTTTTCTCTATTCATTTGGCTAAGACTGGTCAGGTACAATTTACTTAGGAAGGGGTCCAGTATACTTTCACCATTCTTCCCTTGGGCCACCTCTGTATATGGCTTCATACCTAGTCTGGTGGACAGAGATCTGAAAGAGGCTTCTCATCCTGAGTGTATTGGAGTATATCACTACATAAATAGCGTTGAGTTGACTGGGTCAAATGAGGTCACAGTGGCTGAGGCCTGGGATCAAATGATGACCTTTATGAGGAACAAGGGGTGGGAAATTAACCCCTGCCCCCACCCCCCACCCCAGGGTCCGGCCTAATCTGTAAAGTTTGGAGAAGTGTAGAAGATGGGAAGAACTCAGATGATTCTGGACAAAGGACAGAATAAACTACTCATGCTAGCTTCCTCCAAAATGCAAAAGGAAACCCAGTGGCATATTGGACTTTTTATCTTGCAAACTCAGACTTCTGACTCAGGTAGCCTGACAGTCCCTATTTACTGAATCTCCTCCAAAAGCTGTCATTTTTGAATGGGGGCCAGAACAGGCTGCAGCTCTGGAAGCCAAAAAGCAGGTTGTTTGTTCAACGATCTCTTTGTCTGGGTCCTTGTAACCCTTTGGGCATGTTTTTAGAGGTCTCTTTCCATAAGGTCA